CGTAACGTAACGTAACGTAACGTAACGTAACGACGTACGACGAGAGAGAGAGAGAGAGAGAGAGAGAGGAGAGAGAGAGAGAGATATATGAAAGGAAAGAAGAATCGGACGCGAGCTTATCGCGGTTCGCGCGCGATGTGTACCCGGCGATGAGTCAAGGATGCTCGAGAAAAGAAAGGCCGACTGCATTTCACGATGTGCCCGTGTTGCAAACATCAGAAATAGTTAAGATTTAGCTCTCGGTAGCATTCATTTGCTAATTGTAGCACCTCGTCGCGCTCCGTTCTCTCTTTCCCGTCAAGTCAAGTAAACTAGTTAATTGCGTGCTCGACCTACTCGACGTTCATATAATGGAGTCGTGTCACGTCTGATATCGCGGCGTGCAAATTAAAGCGAGATAGGACTCGAGGACTGAAAGATGAGAATCTTTCGCGTCGCGTGAGCGACGATATCGAGGGAAGGCGCGCGAGAGACCTATGAGACCTCTCTCTTTCTCTCTCTTTCTCTCTCTTTCAAAGAGCTAAGCGAGTAATGAATGGATAAAGCGCAGAGTATTCTCGAGTACTCGAGAAATATACTTGTTAAATTCGTACATCGCTTTGAAAATCTCTTACGTAATACGTACGCGCAATCGGTCGGTCGGTCGCTCGCTCGCTCCAGATTCGTGAAATTTCCGACGAGGCTATTTCGGACAATACCAGGACGTCACCATATCACGTCGTAAATTAAGATACGGGTCTTGAGTCGCGTCCTACCTATGCTGCGGAAGCACCGAGGATCGAATATTGCATGCATAAATGCAAGCCTATCTGCCATGGAAACAATGCAAAGGCCGGCGCTATGTCGCGAATGACAATTTGGATAAACGCGAGGTCCCCGAGGTGAAGCATCACTCTCAAATGAATGGAATGATCGCGACTTAAACGGAGTATTATGCAACAACCTGAAACTTTATTTCAGGTAATTTATCGAGAAACGCCGTGAGCGATTACTTCGACCAAGTTGGGATAATTGTCAACTGGATAGCCGGTCGTTACGTAACGCCATTAAGTTCGGCGGAACTATTGGGAAAGATGAAAAACGATAATACGATGAAATCTGACAGAAAAGGTGTATGCGTGCGTGCGTGCGTACGCGAGAACGTCTCTTTAGCAAATAAATTAATTGGACTAATTAGAGCTTGCTGCTTTGCCGCCTCGAGGAAATAAATTTGACCAGTCTCTCTCTCTCTCTCTCTCTCTCAGATTAAATTTATATTTTCGATACGCGCCTCGAAAGTTATCGAGCGCGTAATTTCAATACTCATATTTGCAATTAAAATATCTGAAATTCAATTTACCGTTAAGTAGGTCGACTTCGTTCAAGTCCTCTTCGAGGACGATCGTAAGTTCTTCGCGCGGTACGCCGCCAATATATTCGTTCGAGACTTTAACGCGAATGGATGATGGGCCGGCACACTCGAGATAAATCTCTGGCCTGGTGTGGAGAGGAGCCACTGTCAAATATAATATCGAGACGACGGAGGATCGTCGAGTAATTTAAACTTGAAACACGTTAATATTCGTGTGGATTATACGACGAGCGTAAGGCGGGGAGATAAGCACCTATATAATATTTTACGCGATCGCTCAATGGCACGTATCGATTTTTAATAAAAGGCTGTCTAATAATAAGTTTTACCTTGGTAAAAACCGTCATTCGCATCACTTGCGCCTAGACAGAATGTCACGGAATGATATTTTGCGAATAAGAGTCGTTACGTAAAGTAACGACACGGGAGCTCGCGTTCTATATAACGTTCGCTCTCCTCTTTGCGCTCGTCATATATCTCATCGACGACAACTCCATTTCCTCAAGTTCGCATTTGCCCCTGTGATCCGAGTAATGAACTTTATCATCAGATAAATCCATCGGGGAAGAGAGTTCGGGATTTCTTTCCTTCCTCCTCGAATTTCATTTTCCAAATGGAAATGCGTTCATTACGCCAAGTCGCGATGATACGAAATTTCAATTACCGATACGCGATATCGGAGGCATTATTGGCGAAATCGGAAGGCTGTCTTGCCTCGGGCGATAAGAAAGAAACTGGAACGCTCGAGGTTATTCGGGAAGAATGACACTTTGACCGAGACGATTTTACGGCGACGCGATTCGGGTTTCGGGTTTGCTGTTCGAAAAGTCGAAGCGTTTCAACGGTATAGAAAAATGTCACGCTTCCGCCCGTCTGAGAGAAAAGTTTTCGTGACAGACGTCAGAGGCTCCGACATTGCGCCGGTTCGGATACTGCTCTGTTTACGAAAAAGCTCTGTCTTTCACCGTTTTTCGCCTTCGAGAAAAGATCAACGACAAAGGCTTTAAAAACGAAAAAACGCACACACGTACGTAAACACCTATCGATCGATAGACACGTTGACGTATAATCATTTGTCAATCGTGATAGTTTTTAGAACAGAATCATTCAGGAGTCGAACGGAAGAATAAATTTCTCTGCTAAATGCAGCCCTTTGTTCTCTCTCGATAAAAAATGCAAGTTTCATGAGAGCGATGTAAGAAGCGCATGATATGTCTGCTCTTAGAAATCTCTCGAGTCTTGCGCACATTTCCTTCACACACACACACACACACACACACACACGCTTTCGAATACATTCTTTGAGAATGCATATACGAGCTTTTCTAAGTTATAAAGATTCCAGGCCGTTAGCCAAGATATAAGAAATCCGGATTCAGAAAATCAGTAGCTCGGAAACAATTCTTTTCTATCGTCCTCGTGGTTCGACGATACAAGAAAAATAAAGATTCTTCCCACAGCGGAATCCATTATTAGCGCATAATATGGATAATCTCGCTCAGTGACAATAAAATGAGTTATAATACATCGACAAATAAAGTATCGGTCGATCTTGAAACAAGATAGAGTTATTGTACGCGTTACTAAATATTTAACGAGATAAAGCTGCGACCAGTTAATTATACGCCGCTGTTCACATGCATCATTGACCGCTTGTTCATTTTATGCATTATTTCAATAGACTAGGACAATATTTCTTCCGCGATAACGCGAATATACATCATCAGCGATTGTTTATAAATTCAATTGAGTCGTAATTAGCCGTTTGATAGCTGCACAAAGTATGACGTGATATTCTGACAGATAAAAGTCGACATAAAAAAAAAAAAAAATACGAACGATATCTCAACGTGAAAAAGTCTGATGTAAATAAATAAAGCTTTTCCGGATCAATTTTTTACGAGACAATCAACGAATCCATTATTAAACGACGATTTATCTCTTGTATGGAGCTTTGAAGCGAAAAACATATCGATTCGTTAATTACAAGTGTCAAAGACAAAAAAACGTGCATGTAAAGTACGAACCGATTGTTGAGCGAGTCTGGGATTGGATGATAGGATTATTATTCGCCTCGGCATTCGTCGATTGCGAGCGATGATCGGACGTGACGGTGATCGTTGAAATAGTATTGTTAACGGTGCTGCCAGGCACCGAAGTCGATGTAGTGGAGGCCGATGTTGTTGTCGAGGACGGAGTCGTAGCATTCGTGGCTGGTTTCGAGGACCAGGAGCTGCAAGTGTCGCAGCCTTCAGCAGAGCGTGTCGATAATCGGCAGCAGGACCAACGTTTTCCGCTCCACAAACCGGCGTGGTAACGCCCGCTCAAGCCCGAATTCTCACTGCACACTAACATAAACGGGCACAGCTCACAAATCGTTCTTAAGAATGATATATTACGCTTCAAATGACAGATTGCGGCAGCGCGCATGAGCCGGGTACCTTAGAATTTATCCTCGGTATTTGATATTGACTTAATGGACGCTGTCAAGTCCACATTACGATGAATACCAATTTTACTGCGATTTGTAATGCATTTTAAAATAGAGGATACTCAAGTCTCATATATCATGTGCATTATAATGGCCTTGGATTCCTTCTAATCTAAAAATGCGTTATACGGACTTGATAAAAAATCATATATCTTCTATCGATATATTCTAAAAGTTGAATATCGAAATACTCTGCGTTAATGTTAAATGTTAATTCCCTCATTTCAAAATATCAAAACAAATTTCACGCAAGGATAATGCGCGCAAGTATCGACTTGCCATGTTTGTTTATATCAAAAGCATCGCGCGATGTGCGCGAAATCTGAATTCAGATCGGGCCGGGCAACGTAAAGAAAAAAAAAGAAAAAAGAAAAAAAAAGAAAAAAAAAGAGAAACGCAGAGGTGGAAGTGGAAGACTCACCAGCGCGTATGGCACGTATCCATTCGGCGCGATCCTGCTCGCGAGCGGCGAGGAGGTAGAGCGTGTATTCTTGACCAGCTTCCCGGTATCCCACCTGGAAAGGCAGTCCGGATGGTATCCCGCCACCTCCACCAGCTGCATCGCCGCCACCAGCCACGTCGCCGACGGCACCGCCTCCGCCACCGGTGCTACCATTTCCGAGGCTGGCCGTCTCCACCACGTGGACGCTCTCCACGGCGATCCGTCCACGTTCCTTGCGGCGCTGCAACAAGCAACAATCTCTGATTAACATTTAACAATCAATTCATTAAAAATCGAATCATCCCAACCTCTGGATTCTGGGCGCTACCGACAACTTTCACCGATCGGAGCTCGAAGAGAGAGAGAGAGAGAGAGAGAGAGAGAGAGAGAGAGAGATGCGCATAGTGTCTCAAGAACAATATAAATATTTGCATAATGACATTATTTTTTTAAATTAGAAATCTTAAGTATAGAGACATATCGAGCGTTCGAATGAGATCGACATATTCGTTGCCAAAGAATGGTCCCGATTTTATTTAGACGGCATATAATTTTAGCACACGATTGCTACTTTTCCTGTGACATGGAATAAGATTAAATCGCATTAAAATATTTATGTTGCAGTAGCAGCGAATCTACATTTAGAATAAGTGGTGGCATAGTGATATATCTACATTTCAGACGTAGAAAAGTAATTTATGTGCGCGAATGATATCGAGCGATGTCCTCTCCGGGGACATTTCCTAGTGAAATTCATACGGTTTCGCGCAACATGGATTTTCCATCCGATGATAGACAGTCTAATCAAACAAAGGCGAAAAGAGGAGAATGAGAAGGGGAAACGTATCCAAATACGATTCCGAAACTCTTTTTACCTCCACGTTGGTACGGATCTTGCGACGCGGCGAAGGGAACCAGTCCGATGAGGTCAAGGTATTATCGGAGGATCCGCACGTGGATCACTATGTTCCAGGCGATGCAGGAGCGCTCGGAACGAAGGCGATCCTTTTAAAGAGACAAGAGAAAAAAAAAATCACAATTCTCTGTAGCCGCGTCCTACCGAGACTCGATAGACGTACTATAGCTCGATCCCGCGGATCAGACGGAGCTTCGACGGGATTAGGATCCCGTCGGGAGGAGGACTGGATCACGTCGTGGACCAGGCCGCGTGTCACCTTCCTCCGCCCCACAAGACCCAGAGAGAGATTAAAGCGTCATAGACTCGTCCGAGGAATCGTCAACTCGCGGAAGGATACCCAGTGTCGAACGAAATCAGAGGACCAACGTAGATTCGTCGTGCTTCGCCGAGACCGACCCCGAACGACGGCCACTGACTGAGCAGTATCAGGAACTCAACGACGAAGGAACGGAAGAAATGATGAGGAGGAGGAGGAGGAGGAGGAGCAAGAGGATGGAGAATTTGCGCGGGGCGCCTGCGCCACTAATTTTACACACGATATCACGGGTGCACGTTTATCCGCCACCCCCTACCGAAAACGGCCTGGTCCACCTACCTAATGGCTCGCTTAACAACGGAGATAGCTATTGGTACTAGCCACGATCGCACGCAGTTACCGAACCGGGATAGTTACCGGTCACCATCCTGCTCGATGTCGCGAGATTGAAGGGATTGACCTACGTGACAAAGAGAAAATTAATCCTCGATAGAAGTAATACCAGGTCGTGCGCGGCGTATTACAATCGCCTTGCCCGAATTATCATGTTGCTATCAGCTTAGTAGCTAATTAAATTTATGAGATTGATGTATTATAAGATAGATTTTTAATTTATTTTTTCTTAAAATTTAAAATTATTATTTATATAATTTAAATGAATAATAATAGATGTATATATAAGACGATGAGGATTTTCTGTCTAATTATATTTTTATGAATTATACAATTTTATATACACACACACACACACACACACACACACACACACACACACACACACACACACACACACACATATATATATATACATATACATATACATATACACATACATTATAATTAATATATTTGTAAATTTTGTGATGATCACGAAAAAGAAAAATTTCAAAATAAATGTTTAATGTCTCATGGAAGGATAATTGCTTGTTTATAAACATAAAAATGCAACAATGTAACTATTTTGGTCTTCAGTTATTTTTTTTACAAAGTTTCTCTTTTCAGAAATATAGCAATCTTTCTGCAAAAGAAAAATTTTATTAAAACATAATATTCAGAGCCACCGAGTTCAAGTCCAAATAAAAATATTTTGTTTTATTCTGCTTTTTTCCTCGCTTTTACAAAGAGATCAATAAAATAAAACAAATATAAAATCATACAAAAAATATATGTATAAAATATTTCAAAATATACTTATTTAATACTTACAAAATACTTATTTCAAAAAATTATATTTCATACACCATCACTTAATTACATATTTATAATCTATTTTATATAATTATATTTAGACAGCGAAAAATGATATTTAAAAAATAATATCATATGAGATATAATTTTTCATTTCACATTTTTTAAAACTTATGTTTATTTTTATAAATTTAATGTCGATTAATTTTAATCGATTTAATTTACTGTTTATCTTATCTTCTTCTTATTTTTTTAGAATTAGAAAAAAGAAAAGGTAAGTTAAATAGAAACTAAAATTAATTTATATTAGTAGAAGTGAACATTAGACATATATCTTTTTCTATTTACATATGCGAGATCTTGTTTACAGATTACAGTTAACAGAAATAATTTCAAAACTCGACTGACCACGATAATGAGAGATAGAAAAATATACAACAAAAAGCTAGATTACCGGAGACTGGTAACATGTACCATCCCTCCTTTTCTCTCTCTCTCTCTCTCTCTCTCTCTTTTTGTTCCTCTGCAATCCGGCTTATCCGGTCTATTCGAGATAATAGAGGACGCGAACGAAATCTCTAAATATAGCACATAGAAATCTTTCTTCCTTCGTCCTATAACCCGCCCATCGCCCGTGCGATTCGGTTCACGTGTCCGGTCGATCGGCGGATGATCCTCGTCGTCATCGTCGCTGTCAAACGGAAACGATCAAAAACGGTCTCATATCCCATTCCATGATGAGGAAAGGCAGAATTGAGAGGAAACAGGCTGAGAGCGGCGGCAGCGGCGGCGACGACGGCGACGGCGATCGCGGCCCGTTCTCGCGACAGCTTTTTAACAATTCGAATTCCTACGGGCGACGGCGACAGAGATCAGACCGGTGCTGGTCGGCGATCGATTCGCCGTGTGATATCGCGCTCTTACCATGCGACAAACGTGTGGCTACCACCCCGCGGTCCCGGCGCTCGTCGGGAGCATGACCGCCGGCGCCCAAACAAAGAGTTCACGTGGAACAGGCGCGTACGCGCACACCGACAATCTGTCAAACGAGGACGTCTCGCGGCGACGTCGGGGAATTCGCGAGGTATCAGGAAATGCGCCGCACTACGCTGGTCAAGGCGGCTGGTCCCGCGGATAAAGAGGAATAGGCGAGGGCGGACACGTGGGGCGAGGGCGGACTCCCCCGCGGAGGATCGCACGCGAACATCGAGGAGGGGAAAAAAAAAAAATTATGAGGAATAAGCGAGGGCAGACCTGAGCTTCGCGGGGCGAGGATCTCGCGATGGAGAACCGAGCGCGATCGGCGCGGGACACTCCGCGACCCGCGTAGACCCGTGACGTAAGCAAGATGGCGGGCCAAATTGGAGAAGCGCGCGGTCACCTATCTGTCGTACCTGTTGTTTTGCTTTGTCTCGCATAAGTTTTGCTTTGTCTCGTTTTCTTTATCTGCTGTGAGCGAGTTCGCCAGGGAGACCTCCACGGGACACGAAAGGAACGGTTTCCCGGTGATCTCACGTGGTTAGAGGAGGAAAGCGAGTCGTTTCTTCGCGTGCGAGAGAAAGCGCGGCTTTCCAGCGGAACGCGTGCAACTTAACCTCTGTTCCTGTGTGTCACGCTTTTCGCTTCAGTCTTGTTATTAGTGAATTGAGTCCGCGAGTTGACTCCCCTGTGTTCTTTTGCGATTCGCCGAGCATCCAGCCTTCAAGTTATGGCAGCCCCTGAAACGATACAGGTTAGCTCCTTGCCGTTGCCGCCGGTTCAATACATCAATTTGTACACGGATGACAATGTGCGACGTGGACGAGCACCACGGCCGCCGCCGCCGATTCACGACAGCTATTCTATGTTCGGCAATGTATTTAACGCCGATGACACCATCATCAGGCCGCTCGAGGCCCAGGGCATCAAGAGATTGTACCCGCAGCACTTTGATCGCCGGCGCGAGTTAAAGAAGCTCAATCATTCGCTGCTCGTCAACTTTCTGGATCTGATAGACTTGCTCGTTCGATGCCCCGATAGTCCGAGACGCGCGGAAAAGGTATGTATTTGTGCTTACATCACGAAGAAAGCTTCTACATCGATTCTCGTTACATTATTTTGCCTTTTGATATAAAGTCATGAGACATTGATATCATTTTGTCTTTATGCTGATCTTGCAGGTCGAGGATTTGAGTCTGTTATTCATTCACATTCATCATCTGCTAAATGAATTCCGACCACACCAAGCCAGAGAAACATTGCGAGTTATGATGGAACTGCAGCGTAGGCAGCGTCATGAAACAGCACAGCGTTTTCAGAAACATCTTGAAAAAGTAGGTTCCTTATATTGGAAATCATGAATTTTTTCATAGTATCAATATGTATGCATTATTGATTTTTATAATTGTTGATATAATTGTTGAAATATGAAATATTGTTCCAGGTTCAAGAAATATTACAACATGCCTTACAGATGCTTCCAGATACTTCGGAACTGGATTCCAAACTCGCGATAAATACAGACGCTATGGAGTCTGTAGATAATTTAGGCTTTGAACAGCAAAACCAGGATCCCTGTAGTCCAAGCGATCGTATTATGTGCAAAGTAATAGATGACATGCTTTCTTCGAATGGATTATTTTGAGATATTCTTTATTTTTAAATCTTATTTATTTAATAAAATGATATAAAAAAATAATACATAATCGAAAAGATTATTGATAATATATAAATATCTAAAATACATCTTATAATTCTCCAAATAGATTTTTATTTTAAGATAAATATTACATATACATTTATGATGATACATGTGTTCATCAAATTTTAATCTAACTCAAATATAATTCTATTAATCGCGTATTCTTTAGATTTAACAAAACTGAGATTACATACGTATGATTATGCAAATCCAGATGCATTTGACATCCAATATATAATTATACACCAATTTTTAAACATTAATGCAATGTAAAATCTTAAATACAGAATAAGTTATAGATGCAAACACATATGCATATAATTAAATTTACCTGCTTGTTTTAGAATTATTCTTAAGATTGATCTAAAATTAGCTCTTTTATCATTTTCTTACATTTATTGGGTAAAAAACACCACATGGTATTAAATAATATTATTTATTGAAATAATTAGAAACATTCACGAATTTTTGTAGACAACACAAAATGTTTCTACATAATAATGATGGATACAGGGAAAGGAAAGATGGAAGAATACTTTTTAAACTTACCTCACAAACAGCAATCACATGAAGGAGATATACATATATGATAATATGATAATAAACATAACAATATGCACCACAAAGTTCCTGAAAAGAAAATATTAATTAATCTCTCCAAATAGCTGCTTCTCCATCCATCTTTGAAAACGGATTCTGTAATAAAAAATATATATAAACTATATATTGTTGTTGCAGCCCAGCTCTTTCAGTTTTCAGGCCTTTCTCACTAGTATGCACTTCCTGCAAAAGAAAAACAATGTAATAATTGCTCCAATTGCTGCTTCACTTCGTCTTATTTATCGAAGAAACACAGATTTGTGAAATCATTCTTTTTCATGAAGTAAGTTAAAAATATACAAAATATCAAAACATACCTTAGAAATTACATAATTTTTAAATTATATAACTATATTTATGGAAATTGAAATAAATTTTCAAATTATATATATTTTCTATTAATGAAAATTATTTGTATCTGGTTTCTTCGATCGAGCTGCTTTTATGTGTGGCTAGTTTCGAAATCTCCATATCATCCTATCCTGTCAACAGATAAATATTAACAAATATAAATAAATATGTAGATTTGGAAAGAGGAAGGAAGGAGACTAATTTAGGAATGGATACAAGAGAGATTATTGTAATTTTGAAATTTTCTTTCGATAAGAAAGGAACTGCTCCCATTTCCATGCTTGTATAACTGTCGATGTAACGTTGTTTCTTGATTTTATCATATGGTTTCAATTTGGTATCAACGATATTTTCATTCATTCACATCATATATCTCCCTTCAGGCTTTCTTCAATTTTCTTAAATATCTTGACAAATTTTCATGTCGAAATATCTTCTTTCTTCCTTTTTTTCATATATCGATCCAATATTCCAAATCTTCGTGAAATCCATTAATTATTAATCAGTAATTAGTGTGTTTTCTTGTTCTTTTGAATATATTCAGGTGCGTTGTAAATGTTTGTATCATATATATTTATCAGTCGCTGCCTTGAGCTCGAAGTACGCGGACGCGTTGTTGGTGTGCTGCTCGGTATGAACCGTGCTGCACGCTCCTGCGCGTGCTTTATTCGGTATGTGTGAGCCGTGTCCATCCGATAATTGACAACCCTTAAAGACTGCTCTATCTCTTTAAGGATGATGATGATGATAATTCGTTAACGAAATCAACGTTAGTGAGCACGTCGGATGAACACGGCATCTTATTTTAATTTATATTTTTATATTTAATTTTCATTTTCTATACACTGAGGATGACTCAAACTAGAGTCGAAACGTATGTCATATTTTTCAATTTGTAATAAGAAATTTAAATTGCGCACTGCAAACAGCGCTGATTCTCATTTGCCCTTCTATTATTTCATATCATATATTTATGTTTTTATGTGACTTTATGTTTGAAATATAGTTTGGACTTTCATTACATATAATTCATATTATAAGAATTAATCAAGTGTTTGTATAATGATACAATCGCATTTTATCCAACTCTCCTTCCCGTCATCATTTTTGACATTATTAGATATTAATAAACGTGTGAAAAAATTATCAATTTTCTGTTGCATATCTGAGAAATTATCAAAGCTTTCAAACTCGCAAAATCCTACATGGCCAAAAAAAGGCTAACACAAAATGAGATTTTGTGACTTCTTTGAAAGCATTTTGTTGGTATTAGAAGATAAACGTTTATACCGTTATCTCAATTTTAGTTGCTTTCAATTTCAATGAATTCTATAATTAATAAAAATTTTTTCGCCATGAACCACGACCTCTTCCTGATCTGAATCCACCTCTTCCTCGAGGTCTGTTACCCTTAAATCTACCGCGGCCTAAAAATACAGTAAAGTTAACAAATGATAATTATAAAATCAAATTAATCTTTTTCAATTTTTAACATGTTTGCTTACTCACCATAATTCGATATGTTTGAACTGTATTTGCCACTAGGAGGTGTATATATTTCTCTTTTGTTGTTTTTATCTTCCTTACTACGTTTATTTGGACTGTTATCGTTCCCAAATGTAATTGGTGTGTGTCGTTTCTGAGCAGAATTTTTCTCACTCTAAACAGATGTAAAATTTGATATAATTAAAGTATTGTAAATCAAAGAGTACTTGCAAATATAAATTGCAGATAAATTTGTAATGAATCTGGAACTTGTAACAAAAACAATTACCTTTTTGTCATTACAAGGTGTTTTCCATGAGAGATGTATGATGCTTTTAAAACTAGGAGGTGAATGAAAAAGATCTTTAATTAAAGTATTGATATTATTAGTTGTCTTTAGTGCCACAACTTTTAACTGATTTTCCTCGGATTTCAATTCTTCTTCTGTCTTTCCGCTAATAGCTTCACGTAATTTCTTGATGTAACCCTGAATGCCCCTCGCAAAATATTGTAACCTCAATCGAAATTCTTTAAGCTGTTCCTGATCCTTTATCAGAAATTCGGGAGTCTGTTTACATAGTTTATGAAAAGCATACATTAAACATTCCACGTGACTAAATTGTAACTTTGGTACATCCGTAATTTCTGTAGCTGGAGGAAGCGGCATGTAGGTCTGAAATGTATATAAAATTAAGAATGAATAAAAGTAACAAGCAATAATTTTAATCAATAGTACGAACGTTAGATAACGATGCAAAAATGAATTATTATTAAAATATGACAATGACATACTTACAATAAGAGTGTTATAAAGCTGTTGAACTTTATCTTCGGGTTTTTCAATAGTTCCGCTAAACACTGTTAATTCAGCAAGTAATTTTAACAGTTCTAATTGAATATCTCTACCATCAGGAGAAGTCATCAAAGAAAGATGCGGTAGAACTTGCATGCAAATATATGAAACAAATTTTGATGAATCTATCTGTGACTAAAAAAGGATAGAAACATTTAAATAAATATAATCATAAAAGATATGTGCAAAGCATTCATACAGAAAATATTAAATTGCATTTAAAATATCGAAGACATAAATACATACACTGAAGAATGGAAGAGCATGTTTAACACATTGAACCAATCTATTCCATTGTTCGATGTTCGTGTGTTTAAAAGGTATAGATAATTCAGCCTGTTCTATTGTGATATCAACTAATTCTTGTTGACCAGAGACGGTGGATCCTAATCTAGTCCATGCAAGGATTTCCATAATACTATGGAATTCGTCAGCAGTCACATCCTACAAAAGAAAAATACAAAATATTCAAGAATTCAAGAAATATTCAAGATTAAACAAAAAAATATATATACATATATATTATAATTTAGAAATTATAATTTTTTTTAATTTCTTTTTCATTTTTTTAGAAAATTACCTGCAACACTTTTTTACATTCTGAAATTAACAAATCTTCCGGTTCCTTTGTGATAATGTCATGTCCTATTGCTTTAAGCTTGGTAGCTAAAAATTTTATACAACGTTCTCTCGTTCCATCGTCGCCATTAATAATTTGGCTAAAAAATCCGCTTAAAGTACCTGTAAATATAAAATTATTTTATTTTAATTTAACAATAATATAATCATAGCTATACAAATGCCAAATTTAAATCAAATTGAACGATATTTATTATTATTATAATTTATCAAATACCTTTGGGATCACTTTTCATAAGAGACATAATACTGTTATGTACAACTGCAAGTTCCGACGAGTCCTCAGCTTGCAGTAACTGTGCTAAGATATCTGCAATTCTTGCTGTATGTTCCTTATTATCTTTACAAAGTGCTGGTAAATCTTTAATAGCTTGTTTACGTATCTGTAAATAAATAGAAATAATTGTATATTTATGTAATTTTATACATACGTAAATTATTATTTTGTATTTTCTTTAAAACACTTTTAAAGAAAAATAAAGCAATATTTGAATACTTACAGCCATATCTTCATCTTCGCATAAATCTAAATGAGCATCTATAGCCTGATCTGCTAGTTTTGGAAAATGCTTGAAGAACCTTGCTATGAATTGTGAGGCTAGTCGTTTTTCCTTAGGCGAGCCTTTAACTGCTGTTAGAATTTCCAGGTATTCCTTCTCATGCTATAATAGTATTCAAAAAATAATTCATAGATACAATAAGATTTCTCTGATTTGTATTACAAAATCATTGAAAAATTAAAAAAAAGACAAAATTTAATAGACAGTGCAATGAATAAAAAATGGTGTTATTAAATAAACATGTTTTGATGATTACATTCGTAGAAGATGCTATCAGCACTAACGTATCATTCTATCCTTGACTTAGACCTAGAGAATAATGAAGATAGAATTACATGATAGTGTGTTCCAGGAACGCAGCATCTCTCTCTCTCTCTCTCTCTATATATATATATATATATATATATATATATATATATATATATATGT